GGGGGGGGGGGGGGGGGGGTTAAAATTATAGCCGTTGAGTGTTTCCTACTTAGCCCTTGTTTGAACCCCATTTTTTTAAATGAATTTTTCAATAGTGTTTTACCATCATTTCAACCACACATTCTTCAATAAAATAATTTTACACGTAAATTCAAAATTTTTCCATATTTTTTAACCACGTATTTTCCATCAATACACTTTTCAAAAATTCGTTGATTTCCCAAAAATGGGACTTAAACAAGTTAATTTATCATATTAGAAAAAAAAAATAGTTGTCATCTCCTTTATTTAGAAATAAAGTTATTGTAATTCTTCCTTCAAGGGCTTGGAATAACCGGGTGGATATTGACTACCAAATTTTGGTTATGGGAAAATTTTTAGCTGCCGTCTCCAATTATTATAGGCTACCAAGAAATCTGTTCTGCTTAAATTTTAGATTATTTCCTTAGGGAAAACCAGCTAGGCTGAAGATTAAAGAAAGCGCTATGAATCTTAATTCCCAAGTAGTTAAACTATCAGGTCTCCCGCCATTGATTAAAGCACTTAGAGCTTCAGCAGAGCTTAATGATAATCATGGTTTTCACTTTCCTGGACATAAGAGAGGGCAAGCTGCACCTTCGGAATTGAGTGAACTAATCGGGATTGGACCATTTTTTCACGATGTCACTGAACTTCTAGAGCTCAATAGGTTTTTCGCTCCCGTTGGACCTTTTCTTAAAGCAAAGAGGCAAGCAACAGATCTTTTCGGAGCTAAAGAAACATGGTTTCTTGTTGGAGGCACAAGTTGTGGCATCTAGGCCTCGATTATGGCTACTTGTTCGCCTGGAGATCCTATCTGATGCTCCCTCATCTACCTACCCTGATCTCGACCTGTATTAGCCCGACCTCAACTTTCTCCAAAACCATGAATAGCGAGGTCGGGGTTTTTAGGTCGGGGAATGTTCTCTTCGACGATCTCATATGCTATTGTCTCACTCTTTCCAATAACCTAGAACAATGCAAATCCTATTTAAAACACAATTCCTATCCTATTGGACTCCTTCTCTAACTCAAACAATGGTTGAACACTTAGNCACCTCGAAGTCCAACATTTTGATGGAGATCAAGGATTCGAAGGAACTGAAGTGACCTCCTAGGTTGCGGTCTCCTCCCGATACTCGTGACAAGAGTAAGTACTTTGATTTCCATAGAGACCATAGGCATACAACGGAAGATTGTTTCGCCTTAAAACGAGATATTGAAGCTCTTATAAAAAGGGTTTTTTTTGGTTCTTATGTTAGTAATGACAAGCACCCAAGGAATAATCAGAAGAGAGAAGGGCCCAGAGGGTCGGGGAAACAAGCAACCAACCGCAGGTACTATTAATATCATTGTGGGAGGAATAGCCTCGGGTAGAGATTCTAATAGCGGGCGTAAACAATATGCCAGGTAGCCTCCAGCCATCTCAAAATCAGACCTTAGCTCTACGGAGGACATCACTTTCGGAACAGGGGTTATGGAAGGCATATCATTCCCTCATGATGATGCTCTAGTCATATCGGCCATCATCGCCAACTTTGAAGTCAAGAGAATTCTGGTGGACAACGAAAGTGCAGCTAATATATTGTCTTATGAAGCCTTTATTCAAATGGGGATCTCATCGGAACAACTCAAGCCAGTGAAAACACCTCTTCAGGGGTTTGGAGGTGGGGTCATTACCCTAGAAGGCATCGTCAGGTTGCCTTTGGGATCAGAAGGTAAGCAAGTGATGCAGATTACCACTTTTGAAAATGGGGATCTCATCGAAACAGCTCAAGCCAGTCAAAACACCTCTCCAAGGGTTTGGAGGTGGGATTATTACCCCAGAAGGTATCGTCGAGTTGCCTTTAACATTGGGATCAAAAGGTAAGCAAGTGACGTAGATTACCACTTTTGAAGTTGTCCGTGCTCCAATAGCCTACAACGCCATATTGGGAAGACCACTGGTAAATAGGATTCGAGCTATTGTCTCAACCTTTCACTTGGCTATGAAGTTTCCTACGAATAATGGAATCGGGATAGTTCGAGGCAACCAAACAGTGGCATGACAGTGTTATGTGACTAGTGTCAGGAGAATCAAGGGCGATGTCATGCAAGTTACTGAGCTCGATGTCACGGATCGCAAGATCATGACTTAAGGCTTGGCATGACACGGGAATGTCATGGCACAAGGTGGGAAAATGAGATAGACTTATGGCAAGTAAGGTCTAAGCTTCGGTGGTATAGGGCGATGAGGGCGTCGCCAAATTCAGTAGGAGAGTAACTTATGCCCCACACGGTCGCGACCGATTCATCCCGGTAGCGGTCGCAAGATAATGTGGGTAACGTGTTTCAAAAGGACGGAATAGCTTGCGATAGGAGACGCAAGCAGATTCGACAAAGGATGTAGGCAGATTCGGGCTGGGGACGCAAGTAGATGATTTTGGGGCAGAATGCAGGCTGCCTAGATCGTGCAATTTTACAGGGCCTTAATGAGGTTTTTCTAAATCCCGACCCAGCCATTTTGGGAGGAAAAATATATGGACCTGCAGTGGGATATTTTGAGGATGCAAGTGGGCAACTTGCACAACTTGTCCACTTGTGTGCCACTTGCAAGCTAAGCGCGTATTGTATGCAAGCTAAGTATGAGTTGGCAAAGATATTATCAACATGCAAGCTAGGCGCGAGTTGTATGGAAGCTAAGCGCGAGTTGGCAACAACTTGCAAGGCAAGTTGTAAGACAATCCACTTGAAGACAACTAAGAATGAGTTGGCGACAACTAAGTACGAGGTGGCGACAACTAAGCACGAGTTGTAAAGTGGAATGTTAAGGAGGTTTAAGTTTTCCTATAAATAGAGATGTAGCGTCATTTGTAAATGGGAGGTAGTAGATGGTAGAGAATGTAGAGTGAAAAGAGTTTATTCATTAGAGAGATTGTAAAGTTTTTCCTTTCATTTATACAAAGAAAGTTTTCCCATCTTTACTTGTTTTCCATCTATTACTTACTTCAAAATTCTCTTCTCAACGTGGGTATAATTTAACCTCCTTGGTTAAATTATTTGTGAGTGTGGAAAGGCTGACTTAACATTTTCTCGTGAGGTGCGGGAATTGTAGAACGTTAAGGCCAAACGGTTCTAGTTTGTTCGGGTGTAACGAAACTAGGCCCGTGACATCAAGCTCGAGCATGAGACCCATGAAAGACTGGCTCCAATGGAGGGATTGGAAGAGGTCGAGCTCGAGCCTGGTAAGAAAGTGACAATCGGACGGGAGTTAGATACAACAGTCATAACTGAACTACTAAGTTCTTTCTCCCGCAACATCGATATATTCGCTTGGAATGTTGAGGACACGCCTGGAATCGACCCAGAGGTTGCAATGCACAGGCTTAATGTAAATATGAGGGCAAGACCTGTAAAGCAAAGGAAAAGGCAATTCGCACCAGAAAGACGAGAAGTCATAAAGGAGGAGATTACCAAACTTGCTAACGCATAGTTCATTCGGGACGTACAATATACTCATGGCTGAAGAAGATCAAGAGAAGACCTCATTCATGGTAGACTCAGCCATCTATTGTTACAGGGTCATGCCTTTTGGACTGAAGAATGCTGGAGCAACGTATCAAAGGTTGATAAACAAGATCTTCGCCGAATTAATTGGGAAAATGATCAAAGCATATGTGGATAATATGGTGGTTAAGAGCAAACAGGTAAATGGCCATGTCTCTGATCTTGAGGAAGTGTTTGCTAAGTTACGGAGGTAAAACATAAAGCTCAACCTTGCAAAGTGTGCGTTTGGGGTGGCATCTGAAAAGTTCTTGGATTTTATGATCACACACAGAGGAATAGAGGCAAATCCTGATAAAATCCAAGCTCTGATAAGTATAGAGGCCCCTAAGTGCAAAAGGGACTTTCAGAAGTTGACAGGTCATGTAGCAGCGCTAAACAGGTTTGTTTCCCAGGCAGCTGACATGTGTTTCTCCTTTTTCAAACTACTTAGGGAAAATCAAATATTTGATTGGAATGAGGAATACAACTTAGCTTTTCAGGAACTCAAACAGACGCTAGCAACACCTCCGGTCCTTACCAAACCAAAACCCAGTGACACGTTGCTATTATACTTGGCTGTTTCCTAGAATGCAGTATGCGGAGTCTTGGTAAAGGAGAAGGAAAGAGTTCAACAGCCTGCCTATTATGTGAGTAAAGTCCTTGATGCGAAAACACGGTACACACTTGCAGAACAGCTGGCCCTTGCTTTGGTAATAACTGCCAGGAAGTTGCGGTCGTACTTTCAGTCACATCCAATTGTGGTATTCACTAACCAACCTCTTGGACACATACTCCAAAAGTCGGACGTCTCAGGAAAACTGTTGAGATGGGCAATTGAACTTGGCGAATTTGACATAGTGTTGGTGTTAAAGGGAGAACTGCGAGGAGCCAACAAGAGCGAGTTGGATAGACACAGAACGTCCTCCACACTACTTACTTCGTTAGGCAAAAATGGAGACGAACCGGAATAACGTCCGATCTTGTTTCTAGATTGAGTAGATAATCCTTCTTGGGCTCCTTCTTTCTCCCTCGTACGCTGGGTCAGCGGGGTGTGAGTCTGGTGAAAGTTGTGCCCCATGACTTCCATTCAACCCGAGATTGAACCTTGGAAAGGAACTCGAGATTGTTCATGGGGAAGTTCAGAGAATCCCAAAAGGGATTTCGCCCAACCTTTCTATCTATCACTATCAGAAGTTTTTCTTGTTTATCCAGCTAGCTTTTTTACGTGGTACTCAAATTCGATTTTTGAGAGCTCCTAAGGCCAAAGTTCTGTGAGCTCTCGAATGTCCTGCCCATTTGGAGTCGTAACTCCTCTTCGATCCCGATCTGCTGTCTTCGCACAATCGGCACAGGGTAATCATAGCTCCCATTGATTCTTATGAAAATAGGAAACTTGTATTTCTCATTCACAAAGTTGTAAGGGATTCAAGCTTGCGAAATGCCTTTCATTCTTTAGTAAACAAGCTTTATAGGCATGTATCGAAAGTAGGGGAAAGTCCCCGGTGAGGGCAACAAAAGAAGCGGCTTAGCCGGCGCAGCTCTTACATCTTCAAGCAGCGATCCTTTGAATTTCACTACCAGTCCAAGCTGAAGAAGTTCAAGAATAGGTCCGGGCTCTCATTCCTACTTAAATTCAAAGGCCAATCAATCTTATGAAAGAGCCCTGCCTCGGGAGTTCAAGTCGCGACCTGCAATCAAGGCTCAAGCTTTGGCTGACTTCATAGCAGAACTCACTCTGAGGCCCCCTAAAACACAGGTTAAAGACCCGAGCACGACCCCAAAAATATGGGAGATCTTTGTAGACAGAGCATCCAATAGCTCGGGCTCGGGGGCCGATATCATCATCACAAGTTTGAACAAGACTATGGAGATACAATGTGCACTCAGATTTGAATTTGAGGCCACCAATAACGAAGTAAAGTATGAAGCCGTTATCATAGCCCTGGAACTTGCGAAAAATCTTGAGTTAGAGCGTGTCAAAGTTTTCAGTGACTCACAGCTAGTGGTCGGGCAAATCGAGGGGTCTTTCGAAATAAAGGACTAGAAAATGAGTTCATACTGTCTGAAAGTACATGACCTTCAGAGGCAGTTCATAAGTTGTGAAATCCTGAAGGTGGCCAGAGTTGGTAAAGCCAAAGCTGATGCATTATCCAGACTTGTCTTCATGGGTGTGGCCGAGCTCGATAGAAGAACACAGCATAGCTCAAAAACCAAGTGTCATGGACATCAACTATGAGCCCTTCTGGATGGATCCAATAGTTGATTACATAAGTAATGACAGCCTACCCGCAGGCCCTCAGCTTGCTAGGAGTATTCGGTATAGGGCTGTTAGATATTGTTTAATCGAGGGAGTTCTATTTCGCAAAAGTTTCACACTCCCTTATCTAAGATGTCTTAAACCTTCCGAGTCTCTTCAAGCCTTGACTGAAGTTCATGAAGGCATTTGTGAAAACCACGAAAGAGCTCGAGCTCTTGCATATAAGCTGATAAGGTATGGGTACTACTGGCCAAGTTTGAAGAAAAATGTTGCAGATTACATTCGGAAGTGCGACAAGTGTCAAAAGTTTGGCAACATCATGCACGCTCCTACTGAGGAGTTAGCTTCCATTCATTACTCAGCTCCCTTCGAACAATGGGGAGTCGATATTCTTGGGCCATTCCCCTTGGCCCGAGGACAATTAAAGTTTGTAGCTGTGGCGGTAGAGTATTTCAAAAAATTGGTAGAGGCTGAACCACTGGCAACAATTTCGGAGCCGAAACTCAGATCATTCATATGGAAGTCCACCATATGCAGGTTTGGAATACCAAAAGTTCTCATCACAAATAACGGAAGGCAATTCGACAACCTACAGTTCGGGAGTTTTGTGCATACCATGGAATTGATCATTGCTTGACCTCGGTAACATACCCACAAAGTAATGGGCTTGTCGAAGTAACTAATCGAATCATAATGCAGGACCTTCGAACAAGAGTAGGGGATGCCAAAGGTGACTAGCATGATGAACTGCCTTCTATACTATGGGCATATAGGACTTCGCACAAGACAGCAACTGCTGAGACATCCTTTATGCTTACCTTTGGACTTGAGGCTACCATCCCAATTGAGGTCAGCCTCCCCGAATAGGGAGAGACAAACTACTGAGTACCTTAACTTGCTTGAAGAAGTAAGAGAACAAGCCTCACTTAGAGCTGTAAAATATCATAACAGAACGGCGAAGTACTTCGACAACAAGGTCCAGACTAAAAGGTTCAGAGCTGGCGATCTTGTCCTTAGAAAAGCAGAAGCTGCCGGACACCAACCAAGGAAGCTCAGACCAACATGGGAAGGACCCTTCGAGGTCATAAGAAAACTAAAAGGTGGAGCCTATAGCCTCAAAGACACATCAGGGAAGCCTCTCCCAAGGCCATGGAACGCCGACAATCCAAAAATTTATTACAAGTAACTAGCTGTAGCTATAATTTTTCCTTTTTAAGGCTTGCATGCCCACTTTATGTTTGCTTTATTTTGTTTTTACTTTTCGGGCTCTAACGCCCTAACAACTCATGCTCCAGTAAGCTCGGGTATCAACGCCCTTGAGCCCTTTTAATAATACACGAAATTTTCTTTACGATGTTGCTTCCCTAGTAACAAATTTAGCATAAGGTCGTGCTCCGCGCATGCAGCTAATGCCTTAACAAAATTAGCATAAAGTCGTGTTCCGCACATGCAGCTAATACCTTAACAAAATTAGCGTAGAGCGTGCTCCACGCATGCAGCTAACACTTAACCGAGTTAGCGTAAGGTCCTGCTCCGCGCATGCAACTAACACTTAACCAAGTTAGTGTAAGGTCGTGCTCTGCGCATGCAGATAACACTTAACCAAGCACTTAACCAAGTTAGCATAAGGTCGTACTCCGCGCATGCAGCTAATACTTGACCAAGTTAGCATAAGACAGTACTCCGCGCATGCAGCTATCACTCGAACAAAAGAACCAAACACATGACCTCAAATGGCAACAGGTCAAGCATAACAGGCTTCGACCTCTTCAATCCCAAAATGCCCTCACAACAAAGAATTTTGAGATCGAGATCGGGGCATAAAATAAGTTTACCTCACGTGACCACGCCCGATCTTATCCACAAAGGAAATAAGATGTTTGAATTACAAGGGACAAGCCCGACCATTCCTTTAAATCATCAGTGACCCAATGGTCGCCTCTCGATATAGCAAATTGAAAAATCAGTACCCAACACTAATACTCGAACTCGTTGACACCAAACATAATACATCTTCAAACTTAGAAATTGAAGCCCAATTTTTAAAGTAAAAGGATCGATCTGCCCATAGTTTCAACAATCAGTATTGTTAAGGCATACTATACCCTTGAAATCTCTCACACACTCAGGTTATAGACGTTAACATTCAAGCTAATTGATTGCGACATACGATCTATACTAACGATCGAACTGTTAACAATTATAACAGCTTGAATTCAAATCATAATGTTCACACACGAACACAAAATCCACACGCGATCTCATAGCAAAAATAAAATGCATGAACTGATAACAAAAAGCCTCTCAAAGATCGAAGCCCAATTCAACCAATATACTTTGCATTCAGAAGTCAAAAGTTCAAAAGCCCAAGTTGGGCAATGTACATCGCAATCAAGAAAAATAATAATAACAATAACAAAAGATAGTTCGGGATAATTCTAGTCAATATCAATTGGGTTATTGTCGCCAACCTGATCTGGGGTCCTAGCATCGTCCCCATCACCCCCGTCATCGTCCTCCTCCTCGACCTCTGACGTTGAAAGCTCGAGCTCGCTCGCGAGCTCATTCACTGTCTTCAAATCCTCAACTACGGGCTTCATATCCTCAGGGAGTTTGTTCTGAGGTATGATCAGGCGAGCCTTAGCCTATAGTGCCTGACCCACACTGGCCAAGCAAGGTCTTGAACTCATCTGATTTTTTTAAAAGTCCTCGATTGATTGAGCCCGGGTCTCTTCCCGAACCTTCACCAGCTCATCCTCGAAGTTCTTCTGGGATTGAAGAAGCTCGAGCTTCGCTTCTCGCGCCTCATCCTTAGCGACCCCGTTCTCCTCTCAAGCCCTTCGGAGATCTATCCTTGTGACCTCAAGAGCCTCCTCGAGCTTGAGGGCCCATTTCTTTGTACACTTTTTTTCACTCTCGAGCTCTTCGAACCTTTCAGAAATATTGAGACCATTCAGGGTCAGGCCCCTGGCCACGCTTAGTGACTGCATAAAAGAATTAGGAAGATATTAGTTCGAGCATAAAAGATAAAAAAACAAAGGATAAGGACAGATCAAGTTCGTACCCGCAAAGTTAAAATTTCAAAGGCCTTAACCCCCTCATGAATGGCGACTTCCTTTTCATACTTGTCCACGAGCTCCTTTATTAATGCACACTCAGAATAATCTTTGAGTGCGCTCATAGGAATGGGCTCGAGATAATCATCAGCGACATTCGAGGCTCGAGGTGTAGAAGCCCGAGCTTGTGGTTTTTGCGCAGGCAGAGGAGTTGGGGTCGAGCTCTTTGACGTCGAGGTCTGGCCCACCAGACTCTGCGGGAACGTTAGGCGTGACCTCTCTCGCCCTCTTCTTCCCTTTACCCTGAGTGGGGGCTTAAGCTTGGGCCATTTGGCCTTGTGGTGCACATTCGCTAGCAAACTGGATGGGTCAAAGGACATCTCTATTTCTGCAAACAAAGAAGTCAAGGCATCAGCTCGATCTACAGGTCGAGACATCGACATGAAAACATGAAGCTATAAAGATTCATACCCTCGAGGCCTTTCACGTTAGCAAGGTCGAGGGTGTCGTCCTCAAGCAAGTAATCGATCTTATCTGTAAGAGGATCGTGGTTCACTAACCACAATCTGTCCCTTTCTAAAACCTCGAAGTAAACCTGGCCCTCATTAAATCTATGTTTATCGGGTATTTCCCACTTCGGCCTGAATGGATGGTTGGGATCTTGGGGTTTCACAAAAAAGAACCGCTCCTTCCAACTTGAAACGAGCTCGAGGCTTCCGGTGTCCTAAATCCCCCTTATGTTGACAAGTACACAAAATAGTAAACCCCGGAGAATACTTCATATCGAAGACCATCCTTAAAGGTCAAGCCTGGGCTCGACCTCGAGGTCCCTACACAATATAAAAATATATACCAACATCCTCCAACCATTCGGGGCTAGTTGACCCGGGCATAAATAATAGGATGTCAAGAAATGGATGAAAAAAGGATGGAGCAGCCACCTCAACCTGGCCTTAAGGGCATCTGTAAAAAAGGTTATCTCTCCTTCTCGAGCTCCTAGCACGGTTTCAGTAGGACCTGGGGCTCTGACATCACACGTGGGCATAACCCCGAACTCCCTAGCTATCTTAATAATAATGTGCTCTTTATATTTGCTAGGCTCCTTAGGATAGGTTAAAGTGGTCTCGCTCTCAGTACGTGAGCTAATAGGGACAGCCATGGGAACAATAGACGTACCTAGATCCTTAGGACTATTGTTAACATTCGAGCCAGACCTAGAGGGGGTGCTACTGTCGCTAGTACTCGATCCCTTACTATTGCTACCACTACTCGACATTATATTATAATCAAATAAACAACTTAAGGGCTCAAACTCTTACATTTTTCGACGATCACTCACCAACCCACTATCCTCGAACTTGAGCTCGATTTACTGAGAGATGAGAGTGAAAAGTAAAAAAATGGGGGGTGAAAGTTGAGGTATTTATAGGGGACTGTGGAATACCAACGGTCATGCAATATCAACCCTTGGATCGAGACACGTGGAGGCCATCTAAGGTCGTGCTCTGACATTACATGTGGCAGCCATCCAAGGTCGTGCTCTGACATCCCATCAAATGCCTAACACGTGGAAAGAGACCTAAGCATTTATGCCTCTACATCTTCACTCATAGATCAAGCTTGAACCACAATCTACGACTTCGATGCACGGGGACCTGTGATGCTCCCTCATCTACCTACCCCGATCTCGACCTATATTAACCCGACCTCAACCTTCTCCAAAACCATGAATAGCGAGGTTGGGGAATGTTCTCTTCGACGATCTCATATGCTATTGTCCCACTCTTTCCAATAACCTAGAAAAGTACAAATCCTATTTAAAACACAATCCCTACCCCATTGGACTCCTTCTCCGACTCAAACAATGGTTGAACACTTAGAGTAAAACACTAACTCCTTATCCTCGTAGGATAAGGATCTCCGACCTCTTCAATCCCAAAATGCCCTCACAACAAAGAATTTTGAGATCGAGATCGGGGCATAAAATAAGTTTACCTCACGTGACCACGCCCGATCTTATCCACAAAGGAAATAAGATGTTTGAATTACAAGGGACAAGCCCGACCATTCCTTTAAATCATCAGTGACCCAATGGTCGCCTCTCGATATAGCAAATTGAAAAATCAGTACCCAACACTAATACTCGAACTCGTTGACACCAAACATAATACATCTTCAAACTTAGAAATTGAAGCCCAATTTTTAAAGTAAAAGGATCGATCTGCCCATAGTTTCAACAATCAGTATTGTTAAGGCATACTATACCCTTGAAATCTCTCACACACTCAGGTTATAGACGTTAACATTCAAGCTAATTGATTGCGACATACGATCTATACTAACGATCGAACTGTTAACAATTATAACAGCTTGAATTCAAATCATAATGTTCACACACGAACACAAAATCCACACGCGATCTCATAGCAAAAATAAAATGCATGAACTGATAACAAAAAGCCTCTCAAAGATCGAAGCCCAATTCAACCAATATACTTTGCATTCAGAAGTCAAAAGTTCAAAAGCCCAAGTTGGGCAATGTACATCGCAATCAAGAAAAATAATAATAACAATAACAAAAGATAGTTCGGGATAATTCTAGTCAATATCAATTGGGTTATTGTCGCCAACCTGATCTGGGGTCCTAGCATCGTCCCCATCACCCCCGTCATCGTCCTCCTCCTCGACCTCTGACGTTGAAAGCTCGAGCTCGCTCGCGAGCTCATTCACTGTCTTCAAATCCTCAACTACGGGCTTCATATCCTCAGGGAGTTTGTTCTGAGGTATGATCAGGCGAGCCTTAGCCTATAGTGCCTGACCCACACTGGCCAAGCAAGGTCTTGAACTCATCTGATTTTTTTAAAAGTCCTCGATTGATTGAGCCCGGGTCTCTTCCCGAACCTTCACCAGCTCATCCTCGAAGTTCTTCTGGGATTGAAGAAGCTCGAGCTTCGCTTCTCGCGCCTCATCCTTAGCGACCCCGTTCTCCTCTCAAGCCCTTCGGAGATCTATCCTTGTGACCTCAAGAGCCTCCTCGAGCTTGAGGGCCCATTTCTTTGTACACTTTTTTTCACTCTCGAGCTCTTCGAACCTTTCAGAAATATTGAGACCATTCAGGGTCAGGCCCCTGGCCACGCTTAGTGACTGCATAAAAGAATTAGGAAGATATTAGTTCGAGCATAAAAGATAAAAAAACAAAGGATAAGGACAGATCAAGTTCGTACCCGCAAAGTTAAAATTTCAAAGGCCTTAACCCCCTCATGAATGGCGACTTCCTTTTCATACTTGTCCACGAGCTCCTTTATTAATGCACACTCAGAATAATCTTTGAGTGCGCTCATAGGAATGGGCTCGAGATAATCATCAGCGACATTCGAGGCTCGAGGTGTAGAAGCCCGAGCTTGTGGTTTTTGCGCAGGCAGAGGAGTTGGGGTCGAGCTCTTTGACGTCGAGGTCTGGCCCACCAGACTCTGCGGGAACGTTAGGCGTGACCTCTCTCGCCCTCTTCTTCCCTTTACCCTGAGTGGGGGCTTAAGCTTGGGCCATTTGGCCTTGTGGTGCACATTCCCTAGCAAACTGGATGGGTCAAAGGACATCTCTATTTCTGCAAACAAAGAAGTCAAGGCATCAGCTCGATCTACAGGTCGAGACATCGACATGAAAACATGAAGCTATAAAGATTCATACCCTCGAGGCCTTTCACGTTAGCAAGGTCGAGGGTGTCGTCCTCAAGCAAGTAATCGATCTTATCTGTAAGAGGATCGTGGTTCACTAACCACAATCTGTCCCTTTCTAAAACCTCGAAGTAAACCTGGCCCTCATTAAATCTATGTTTATCGGGTATTTCCCACTTCGGCCTGAATGGATGGTTGGGATCTTGGGGTTTCACAAAAAAGAACCGCTCCTTCCAACTTGAAACGAGCTCGAGGCTTCCGGTGTCCTAAATCCCCCTTATGTTGACAAGTACACAAAATAGTAAACCCCGGAGAATACTTCATATCGAAGACCATCCTTAAAGGTCAAGCCTGGGCTCGACCTCGAGGTCCCTACACAATATAAAAATATATACCAACATCCTCCAACCATTCGGGGCTAGTTGACCCGGGCATAAATAATAGGATGTCAAGAAATGGATGAAAAAAGGATGGAGCAGCCACCTCAACCTGGCCTTAAGGGCATCTGTAAAAAAGGTTATCTCTCCTTCTCGAGCTCCTAGCACGGTTTCAGTAGGACCTGGGGCTCTGACATCACACGTGGGCATAACCCCGAACTCCCTAGCTATCTTAATAATAATGTGCTCTTTATATTTGCTAGGCTCCTTAGGATAGGTTAAAGTGGTCTCGCTCTCAGTACGTGAGCTAATAGGGACAGCCATGGGAACAATAGACGTACCTAGATCCTTAGGACTATTGTTAACATTCGAGCCAGACCTAGAGGGGGTGCTACTGTCGCTAGTACTCGATCCCTTACTATTGCTACCACTACTCGACATTATATTATAATCAAATAAACAACTTAAGGGCTCAAACTCTTACATTTTTCGACGATCACTCACCAACCCACTATCCTCGAACTTGAGCTCGATTTACTGAGAGATGAGAGTGAAAAGTAAAAAAATGGGGGGTGAAAGTTGAGGTATTTATAGGGGACTGTGGAATACCAACGGTCATGCAATATCAACCCTTGGATCGAGACACGTGGAGGCCATCTAAGGTCGTGCTCTGACATTACATGTGGCAGCCATCCAAGGTCGTGCTCTGACATCCCATCAAATGCCTAACACGTGGAAAGAGACCTAAGCATTTATGCCTCTACATCTTCACTCATAGATCAAGCTTGAACCACAATCTACGACTTCGATGCACGGGGACCTGTGATGCTCCCTCATCTACCTACCCCGATCTCGACCTATATTAACCCGACCTCAACCTTCTCCAAAACCATGAATAGCGAGGTTGGGGAATGTTCTCTTCGACGATCTCATATGCTATTGTCCCACTCTTTCCAATAACCTAGAAAAGTACAAATCCTATTTAAAACACAATCCCTACCCCATTGGACTCCTTCTCCGACTCAAACAATGGTTGAACACTTAGAGTAAAACACTAACTCCTTATCCTCGTAGGATAAGGATCTCACATGAAAATTCTGGCACTTTATACCAGTAAATAATGAGAATTCTGGCACTTTATACCCTCTAGGCCATGCTTATGCTTGGTCTACCCAATCAGGATATGGTTTTGTATAAGTCGACCTAATGACAGGACGTACCCCAAAAGCCATTTGATCCTGTACTATTTCCATAATTTGATTTCTCAACATGACGTTGGGGTCATATGGAATTCCTATAGGTTGGTTGATCGGTTGATTTGTCTGAGGCCTGATGTTTGGTCCTTGGTTGGCAACAAAGTTGCCATGATTTGGGTCATTGTTACCATTAGCCTGAATATTTATTTCATCATTAACACGTGGGGTATTCTGTCCATTATTTAGGACATTGTCTCTTACATTTAGGTTACCCCCAAGTTAGATGTACCATTATCACTATTCTGATTTGGCATCACACCATCCCCTGGTTTGAAGTAGACAGACCAAAAGATGGTTATATCCCTTGATTTGGACTTAGGACTAGGGAATTATGTCCTACAATTGTCTTAACTTGAAAGTGATTTGCAATAGGCACAATTGGCTGACAAATTTGGCCTACTAACATATTTATTATTTCATTTAATGTATTCAGTTGTTTGGCCATGTTGTCATAATGTGCATTCTCATTCTGGGTAAATCTTTCCATATTATGAACATTTCGTAGATTTACTTGTTCAACGACATCTTGTGTGAGTTTTTCAAGCAATGCACGCATGGTTTGAGGACTCAACTCTGTCATTGGTTCGTAACGACTGTGACTGCTCTGACTCTGTCCCTCTGTTCGTGGAGAGCTTTGCTGCTCCTTATATCGCTCGATCACAGACCGGACTCCTCCTTAACTTGCTGCTTCCTTATCAGATTTGTGAGGCATATTGTTTCACTTTTTGTATCCTCAACACCAAACACCAAGGTCCCACCGGGCATGCCAAATTGTTTCGCGTGGGTAGTCGCCAACAATTAAAAAAGGGATCAGACGATTGTGTAAGGAACAGACCTCTTGAGACAAAGTCCCAAAAAGGGGTGTTTTATTAGCGATGATTTACAATTGGAAATAAACAGAATGCCTCCAAGGGGCGCAAGCACACGAGTACTAAAAGAAGTGTTTAAATTTAAGCTAAGAAATTAAAATTACATATTCTCTGTTTGAGAGTGTTTGATTCGGCCACTTCTCTATGTCTTCTCTTCCTTTTTATATTCCCTTGATGATTTCCTCGTGACAAACCGCTTGGAAACTGTTTGATTGCTTTATAACTACCCACTTTCTTTATGGTGGCTAACTTGTCGTGGAACTGCCGTCTCTAACTGCTGCCATTACTTTTTGTCGTTCAACCGCCTTCAACTGGGCTCCTTGAATCGTGGAATGTGATAAGATTACTCAATAACTGCTATTCTGGATAATCATAATATTTTATATTTGCTAAGATCCTGGGCGAGAACGGGGTCATCGCTCTGGGCGACCGTAAGGCACTCCATTCGCTCAAATTCTGGGCGTCCTGCAAGCTTGGGCGATGATGTTACTGTGTTCGTGGGCTTCCACTGCATTCATCAATAATCTTGTTTGGACCTTTATCCTGGACTCCCCAATTGGGTTTCACTCTTTGAGCTATTTAATTTGGGCTGCACTTTTAGTGTGTCAACAGAGGGTCGAAAAGTGGCTGCATTTTTCATAACGTCCCTATTTATAATGGAATTTGCAGCAATTTGAGTGAGATTTCACAATTGTGTCACTCATGTGGAATCCCTCTAATAGTTGACGAAGCTCACGGAGCTCACTTCAAATTTCATTCGGCCATGCCCGATACAGCCCTCAAACAAGGGGCCGATATCACTATACAATCTACTCACAAAGTCTTGAGCTTTCTTACTCAATCATCGATGATACACATTTCAAGAGATATCAAGACGAAGAAAGACTACACAAATGCCTGCATACCCTTCAAACCACCAGTCCAAGTTGGCTTCTTTTAACTTCACTGGATGCTGCTAGGCATCAGTTAAGTAAAAATCCCACAAATATTTTCAACGAAGTAATGGAATTGGCTGCTGAAGCCAAATCTTTGATCAATAAAATTCCTGGAATTTCAGTTCTTGATCCTCGAATATCCTTTCCCTATTTCCACACAATGGATCCTTTGAGAATCACCCTCGGGGTGTGGAAACTTGGCCTCTCGGGTTTTGAAACTAACAATATATTTTATAAATCTCATGGAATTGTTCCAGAACTCAATGCCACAAGATCCATTACATTAGCATTCAGCCTAGGAACTACAAGAGACCATGTTCAAAGACTTGTGGAAGGACTGAAAGATTTATCAGATTCCTGTTTGCCATTACAGCCCAAAAGAGAGAAGATTTTTACTCAAATTTCACCTTTCGAAAGTAATTTTCACATGAGATTAACCCCTAGAGAGGCCTTCTTTGCAAGTAAAATGAAATTAAAGATTGAAGACATTGCCGGAAAAATTTGTGGGAAAGTTATTTGCCCTTTTCCTCCTGGAATTCCAGTATTGGTACCTGGTGAAATCATCACTGATAGAGCAATCGATTATCTTATAAAAGTTAAGGGTAGTATCATCAGTGGGGTAGAGCAATAGATTATCTTATACAAGTTAAGGGTGGTATCATCAGTGGGGTTGCTGATCCTAAAACTTAGTGGTCCATAATTTCCCTGCCATTTATTTCATAATTTTTCACTTTTCTCAAGTTTAAAGACGCTATGAATTATTGAAGTGAAAATTAGACATCTTTTCTTGTATCTTAAAATCTTTTCGTATTTGTTTTAGTTTACAACAATTTGCATTTTATCCTTTTACAAGAAAACTTTCCCTTTTGATTCTAAGGGCTTAACACAAGAACTCGATACAAGTGACCAGTCTATGCCTTGATTGGTTTAAAGACAACAACAGAATGGTTTGCAATGTGCAAGCTGAATTGTCCACCCTTTTCACTCACATCTATCTTTTCCGAACCTGGAGGAACCAACATTTCAAAATTCGACACCAGTTTTGCAATTACCAATCCAAGAATTGGCAGTGCAAGAATGATCCCCGGGCAGCTCCGCCTCCCCATACCGAAAGGCAAGTACCGGAAATCAACTTTGCCACCAGCAACCGCCGCCTCTGTTCCATTCTCCTCTTCCAAGAACCGCTCTGGCCGGAATTCATTAGGCTTCTTCCACCATGCCGGATTATTCGCCAGCCACCAAGCATTCACCACCACCTTTGATTCTTTAGGTATGCTGTAACCACCTAGTTTAGCTTCTTCAAGATTCATATGGGGTACCAATAAAGGTATTGGGGTGTGCAACCTTAGTGTTTCATTCACTGTGGCTTGTAAATATGGTAATTCATTGAGGGTCGATTCTGTTACGGGCCGGCCTTTAAGGACGGCTGAGATTTCATTGCGGATCTTGTTCTGAACATCAGGATGGTTGACGAGCTCAGCAATTGCCCATTCCATGGACCATAGAGTTGTTTCAATTGCTGCAACATTGATGTTTTCGACAATATATAGAACATTTTCTTCACTGATTTCTCCCTTCATTTGAGCATCTATTATATGATCAATTGCACAGCTTATCCTGTGTTTTTCTCCGTTTGCCTCCATTAGTTCCCTGCATTAAATTATATAACTTCTTGATTCAGGAAAATCATATGACCAACAGAAACAGAGGCGCATTCTCTGGAAAATGATCTAATGACTACAAAATCTAAGTGTTCTACGTAATAAACATGGAGTCAACTAAAAGCTCTTTTTTGTCTCTGTTCGATATTTTTCCTTGGAAAAAATATTAAAGGGAAAGAATCTTTACCTTCTCTTCTCAACGTAATAATTGTTGAAGAATGAAAGTCTCCGCCTTTGCAAGTCCCTGCATTTGTTGAGATACCCTCTTAAAAATGGTCTAAGCAATGGGATGAAGTCTCCATAGTTGTACTCAAAGCTCTGTGCCAACCGGCTTCTCTCAGAATTAAACTTGGTAGCCTCAATGAACAATGGATCATCCTGTGATTCAAATTTGGCATCAAACATCATACGGTACATGATGTTATACAACATCAGCTGCAACCTCTTTCTGATCACTAAGCCTTCTTTTCTCACTTTTTCATCATTTCTCAAGTCGCAAACTACTAGATCCATTTCATCTTCCCACATATCACTATATTGGTGCACAACTTTGTTGGTGAAGAATGGAAGTGTCATTATACGCCGCATTTTGCGCCAATGCTCACCATAGATTGTGAACACCATGTCTTGACCATTACCCGTGAAAATGTCGAACACGACATTTCGTGGCCGGGAACCGAATTCCACACCTTGTGTGTGTAGGACTTGGTTGGCTAGCTCGGGATTCGATACCACTGCTAGATTTTTCGAGCCAAGTTTGAGCAAGAATACTGGACCATAGGTTTGTGACATGGAGGCAAGGAGTTTGTGGTTCAAGTCATTGCCGACTTGAAGCCAATTGCCAAAAATTGGGAAAGAAGGTGGCCCGGGCGGGACATTGGCCGTGCCGGCTGTGGTGTGGTGGAGAAAGTGAATGATGAGGGGAAGTATAGGAAAAGTAAGTGATAAAAGTTTAAGGTGAAAGGAAATGGACAAGTGGGAGAATAAAAACTTGGTGCATACAAGAAATGCAATTGTTACAAGAGTGCAAAATATGGTTTTGTTGAGAAGACTGCCCATGTTTTTAAATCAAGAGAGGGAGAGGCTTGAACGCTAGAGGGAAAAGGGAAGTGGCCTTTATATAAGGAAGTAATTTACATGGGTAGGAAAGTTGGTGAGCGTGTCTAATGGTTTTGGAAAAAAACCCTGTGGGCTGTCTTAAAATCTAGGTAGGAAATCGAAATGACGATGTAAGTCAATGTGGTGTTGGTGGGTAAAATATGCTTACTGCCACTTATTTTATCATGGCTAAATTGCACGCTTCATCTACAATCTTTATTATTATTTTTTTTTAAATACTTTTATTGCTACCCTTTATTTCTTGGCATTTTAAATAGCAGGTTTCAACTTTTAGGTGCAAGTAATCCCACCTCAATTAATCATTCTCCTTGACATTCTTCCATGTGGCAAGATCTACGCTCTTAATTTTGAAAACAACCGTCACATCGTTGTACAGATTTTTTTCACATAGGGGGATGTCAACCACAATGTATCATATAGCTTAATTCCTTGCCTAATTCAGCTTACAAATGCCACGGCAGCATGGCCAACCTCGCCGGCAATCCTCATACTTCAACAACCAGCCCCAATCTTATGGCCTCGTTGAATCATCTTGTCTAAATTATGACATGGGCTGACACGTCTAGGTAGGAGGGTTGTGCCCGGACTACACATTTTCTAGATGTGTCCACCTACCTAAAAGTGACAACACAACGTTGATGATTCTTGAACTAAATTTTTTTCTGGTTCGTCTTCTTTAGTGTCATGTATACAATTTACCAACTTGGTGAGTCTTCTTATTTGAACTACATGTTTATATTCACATTCAATTGTTTGGTGAGAGGATATGCAAAAGGCTTGTTTGGCACATATTTTTCAAGTGAAAATTGATTTTCTGGAGAATGACTAGTTGAGAAGCGAGGAGAAGTTGTCAAATCTAGGTACCTGTTGGCAGCTTTTTTGAGATTTAAAATAAATAAATATATCAGCAATAGGATGTGAAGCTGAAATCTAATAAAATCTTAATGCATTCATTTGGTTTGATTTCCAACAACTTCATGAGTCTTACAATAACAATACTCTCTATATTAACATACACTTCCAAATTTCTCATGTGCACTTCTCATAGGTTTAAACAAATGTCGTTGCAGGTAGCAAAACCTTGTTGAGGTACACTCCAAGAGCCCAGATGGGAAAAATGTTTCTGTAGGTTGAGTAGCTTATCATACAGTTCTGATTGAATACTCCAACAATGTCCTGTCGATAGAATAGTAAGATTGAACTACAATAAATTATTTTGTTCAAACGAGTTCTTAATTGGAAACATCTCTTTCGAGTTCAAACTTGATTACAAAAATTCAAAATACCTGTTGCGGAAAGTCCCCATTTTCCATTTGTGAATTGATCAACACTTTAGCAGCACGATGCAATGGGGTTGGATCCCGGTTGGCCTAATAAATCCAATATTAGTAATAAAATCATAAAAAAAGCTTCTTTATTAATCCGTAATATGCACATATATGATGGTATAACACCTACTTGCCCAGATTCAATAAGAGCCAGCATAGCCCATCCAGTGTTTACGTTATGCGATTTGTTCCCTTCAATATTTGTGTATACCTGCTCTCACTCGAACAAACAAACAAGTAAGAATCTGATGGCCCATTTGCAATTGTTTTAAATGCTACTGGATTCATTAAAGCTCGTAGTTCCTTAAAGAGAGGAAAAAATGAGCATACTTGTACACTTTTTACCTTGTCTTGGCATGAACGATAGCTTTCGCCCCAGCCATCAGATGAAAGTTGTTTTGATAGAAGGAAATCACAAGCTTTTCTGATGCTATAGCTATTTTCGTAGGTCTTACCACCGGCAACTAATCCTGTTATGCCAAACCATGTCCCATAGGTGTAGCATACTCCCCAAGATCCGTACCTTGTGAAATTAATTAACAATACTTTTCATACCAAACCAACAATTTTACCAAGATAAAATATGAAGGCGAGTATCAAAAAGAAAATCATTTTTTCCTCTGTATAATGTGATTTACATCCTAAACAACCTGTACTCCGTCACGGACTTGGAATTGATGGTTAAATATATAGGATTTGGGATTAGTATATCTTCTTTTGAACATTTTGGTTGAATATTATATTTTGTAAAACCAACATGTCAATTTGATATTTAAAATTTGCCTAATCTGCTTGTTCCTACTTTGTTGTGGCACATGTTCGATGTTTTTCTATGATGTGCTAGCATTCGACTTAAAATATTCTCCTGCTCATGTTTTGCTAGGGGCATCATTTACTTTTTCTGCGCCCCCAAGAAATTATTGTGTATGATTTTTTGAATGCCCTTTCCATCCTTAGGATGGTTCTAAAGAAGTAAACTTCCAAAACGAGGGGCATACCATGAGCCATCAGGAAGCTGTGTGCTTTCGATGAATTTAAGTGCTTTCTTGACACATGCATCGATTTCTTCACTCCGGTATCCTGGATACAATGTGATAAAAGATTTGAGACTCTGTATCGCTGCAGACGTGCATTCAACATACCTGCATCATCAGGTTTACTAATATTAGAATTAGAGAGAAGATTATTGGCTATATGAAACGTCAGATATTTGAAATGTATATCAAAATCAGTCTCTCAATCCAGGCATTAGGAGCCTGAGGTTTACTTTAAATTTGCAGCCAATTATTCAGTTATTTCTCGAAAGAAAACAGTAGAACTTGACGATAATAAAATTCTTTCAATAGAAATTTGGGCATTTCCCACTTGCTTTTTTTTCTTCTTCCATGAAAGCCATGATAAAAATATACCGCAAACGTGGAGAAATTAATTTGTATTATGGATTCTTGGAAATTGAGATGGCATCATGCATGTAATTTCTTGTCAATAATCGGCATGGTGAAATGACCAGAGTTTTAAGCAAA